CTGGAAATCTGTTTGCATCTGTCTTATGGATTCCATTTGTTTCCTGTGTTGAGATTCCATCATGTTCCTCAGATCCTCTATTTTTTTAATCTATGTCCTCTCTAGATTTATTAATCATGTCTTGCACCATGAGCACAATCTTTGCTGTTATCTGAGTAATTATTTATGATTTCATTTTTCCTAGATCCTCTTTTGTTACCAGTTCAGAGTCCAGGTGGTTGAGTATCAGATTGTTCCATCTCGTTTCCCTTTGAGGTTGCTGTAGGTGATCCAGAAGTCTGTTTTTGAGGCTTGTTTACGTGTCTTCTCATTCCCACCGGGGTGCGGGGGTGCTTCTGGTGCCCGCGAGGCTCACCTTCTCTGCCCTAGGAGCTTGGGACGATGGCGGGTGTTTCCTTCCCACACTTGTGGTTTTTAAAGTGGTTCTTTCAGGCCTCACTCAGATCTATTGAGTCAGCCAAAAAGATGGGCTGCTTCCCAGGTGATTCTGGTTGGTCCCAAAGTTTGAGGGTCACAGAGGTTAAGTAAAGATGTAAAAGATAGTGTGACAGTCAGTCAGTCAGTCAGTCAGGAAGTCCATCACACTTTAGTCAGGATGAGGTAAAAAGATGGCTTCCCTGAGTGCCACAGGTGAAGCTAACATTAACTGTGCCAAGCATTATGTAAACTCTTATTTAATGCCAAGAATATTGTGAAGTACTATGTATGTTTTCAGTTTGAGAAGTCTGCAATGGGGAGTTTGCTGGGGTTATGCAACTAGTAAATGGCAGAGCCATGAACCTCAGTGCTGTGGCTATGCTGCCCCTCAGGGAGTGGCAAGGTAAAGCATTGTTGGAGAACTAGGAAGACAAAGACTGAACAAAGAGCAACCTGGGAACATGGAATGCAGTTAGTGTATTCTTCACCTTAGTATTTTAATAATAGCCTTAGAGAGTTGGAGGAACCCAGACAAACTATGTGGCACCTATTATAAAGTAAAATGAGAACAAAAATATTTACACTTTCCGTTCTTGTTAAAAGAGGTGACTTTGTCATCAAGGAGTCAGGACTTTGAATATGAAGTTCAGGCAACACCTTGTGTCTCTGTGTCACCACGGGGACAACCTAAACTTTCATGGAGCTTTTGCCACATGATAAAATCTACCCAATACCATATGCATTTTAGAAATCAGAGCGCAAAGGAAAAAAAATCTTATAACACCAAGAAGACTGGCTCCATCTAGGTAAATGTGACATCTTTGGTGAAATAAAAACAGAGAAAGAAGAGTTTATTTTAATGAAATTTATTATTTTCTCTCTGAGAAGTAAATATTGTGAGACTCTTGATATTTAAATTCAGGACAGTTTGAAGGCAGAAATCTGCCTATTCCTGCTGATAAACCCTCCATCCACAAATGCAAGTATGCAGCTTATCTTGGGCTTTTTATTAATCTATTCACCCACTTCCTGTTTACTTCAGGCCTCTACCTGAATGGAGGTGCAGTTGTCTTTAGCCAGTATTTTGGCCCTTCCAGGCCTCTGATGGTTGCATCAGGGGGGCTGAATGATGACAAGTTCTCCTAATAATGTCTTTCACATACTCCCCTTGTGTCTTATTTTGAGCTGGTATTACAAAATACTGCAGATAGAGTGGCTTAAACAACCAACATTCATTTCTCACAGTTCCGGAAGCTGAGAAGGCCAACATCAAGGTGCCACTAGACCTGGCTAGATGAGAGCCTGCCTTGTGTTGAGTGTGTGTGTGTGTGTGTGTGTATACACATGTGCATGTAGAAAGACCTCTCACGCCTCTTCCTTTCCTTATCAAGGCACGGATTCTCCCACGTGAGGATCTCATCTTTCTGACCTAATTTAAACCTAAGCACTTTCCCTCAGCTGCACTTCCTAATGCCATAAACTGGGGTGAGGATGTTGAGGGAATGAACTCCACATGGGGCAGTCTGGTGACTTTGGGTCTGCACTATGTCTGTCACCCACGATGGCCACTCAGGACACAGGGCCCTCCTTAGGAGCTCCCTGCAGTCATCCCCTCATCCCCTGAGGCTCAGCACCCTGCGTGGAGCAAGTGTACCCCCTCCCATCCTGTACTAAGGCCAGCCCTCTATTGCTTCCTTGAAGGGTCTTCTTCTCTGGATTTGGCTTTTGAAAAGCAAAACCAGAAGAGATGATAGCTTTTCTGCTCCCTATTTCCCTGGTACCTCCACAGTGAGAAGCAGACTGGGAGAGGTGCTGAAGATGTGTGTGGAGGAAAACCCTGCCCCAGCACTGGGTTCTCCTCCAGCCACAGTGTATAGGATCACAGAGGACCTTTCCACGACGAAGACCCAGACTCACCTTCTCTCTCTCCCCGTCTCATCCCAGTGCCTCCCTAGCCCCTTCCCTTGGAACCAAAGCTCAGCTCAGAATGCACCCTGCACACCACTGCAGCACCTGGACTCACTTCCTTCAGGGACACTTCAGGTCAGGGAAATGATTGCTTTTCAGGAGTAACTGCAGGCAGGGATTCTAAAGTTAATTCAAACATTGTTTCTGTTTACATAAAAGCCTTATCCCTGGAGTACAAATACTGTACAGTGTTGAGAAAGAGTTCAACTCAGTCTCTATATCCCTTCCCTGAAATGTCCCCAGAAACTAATGACTATAATATATACTATAAACTGTAATATAATATTCAATAACAAGTCTATTTCACCCACTTAAAAGTAAGTGAAGTTCATAACTTACCTATTTCAGACACACAGGCCCACTGTAGGCACTTGAGCAGATAGATTTCGATACAGGTTTTGATGCTGTAATAAGAATGAAGAGAGATGCCCTTCAAAACTTTTCTTCTCGTGAACTACAGATTCTTTTCATTTCTAGTTCTCAAAGGGACAGCCTTTGACTCAGTTAGGTGTCTTATTAGTGGGGTCTGAACAGTATTCCTTGCCTTGGGGTTAACCAGACCTCAGAAGTTCTCCATCCCATCTGTAGGTAACAAAATCCCACTGAGACTGACCAACTGATGCTGGACAGAACTCTGAACCTCTGAGCCCAAATAAAGCTTCTCTTTTTACGTAGTTATTCTCTAAAGTATGTGTTACAGTAGGGAAACATAACTAACACAACAACCAGTGACAGTAAGGGTCAGAGATCTGATGTCGCTGAGGGTTTGGTCCCAGACAGTGGGTGGCATGGGAGTGGGATTGGCCTGGAACTGCTGAGGTCATAGAATTAATATTCCCCATTGCCTGAATACACAGGTTCTGGCTCTATGCATCTTGTGCATTGCAAAGGGGTTTGTGTAGCAAATATTAAACATTGAGTAAAGTGGGCTTCTCTGAAACAACTAGGTTTTTGGGCTGCCTCTTCCTAATTTGAGCTGATGAGGACTAAAGAGATGGGAATTGATTTTTATCTTAGGCAGAGTTTAATTAGAGAGAAAGAATTTGTCAAAATATCTTAAGCTTCATTTCAAAGTCAAATAAAAATGATTTTTGTATTACTCACTGGTTTGCATTGCATGGATATTCTAAGCTTGTGTTTCAGCAGCACTATGCATAACTGGGAGGAGGCGGCAATAACTATCCATATCCATTTCCCACCCACATCTCACCAGACCCCTGGTAATCTGGATAATCGGGTACAGGTGAGGTGGAGGAATGACAGCCATTGTGGTGAATACTGGCAGAAATCACTGTAGGCCACAAATGAGAAATAGAATTTAATATACTACATGGTCCTGTTCTCGCCTGTGTATAAAGTTATAAAACCCAGGACCCAGTCTTGCTTAACACCATGAACTTATGACTATAGGACTGAGACATTTCTGTGCCTGGTTTTTTACATAGTTAATCCTCACATCAAGAAAGGCATAACTGTCCATATTTTACAGGTGAGAATACTGATGTTCTGAGTGGTTAAGTGGCCCATCCAAGGTTAGACAGCCAATAAGTGGACCCAAGTCCACAGTAAAACCAGGAGATAAAATAATAAAATCCTAGAATTTTAGAGTGGAAAGGGATCGTCGAGGTCTAACACTAGACTAATACTAACACATTGTCTAGTTGGTTGTAAATCCAAGGTGAGAGTACAGGCTCAATTCACTGAGTATATTTTGACTTGAATACTTATTACATGGCCAGGTCTCCTATTTCTCAGACCCCCAATTTTTCCTATAGGGCCTTGTGCAGAAGGTAGAACATGGGTAGAGATAATAGTGCCAGGACATAAGATCTAAATTGTGGGACAACCATGGTTAGTAGGGAAAGTATTCAGCCTGCTTGGCAGCCAGAGGGGAGGTGTTGGAGCTGGAACTTGGGGTATAACTTGATCCTAATCACGAAAGTCAAAAATGTCATTCTGAGTTACTTTGGGAGTGATTTGTCTTACTTGAAATGAGGTCCAAGTCTTTTGATCTGATCCTTACTAGGGTGATTTTTAAAAATCCAGTTAATAAGAATAATGAGAAGCAGCTGTTTCTACAACAAAGCACCATATTCATCCTGTGTGTTCCCTGTGAACTGTGGTGAGCATTATGAAATAAACGCAGACCCCATTGTCCACAAAGTGGACACAGGTACAGCTTTCCTGTTGGGTGCGGGGACAGGAGACCTTCTCTGTCTCACCAAGCCCAAATCATGAACTCCTAAAGTGCTTTATTTGTGAGACTTTTCTGGTTGCAAACATTTACACACATTTCAAGAAATATATGTTGGGTGAAAATAATGTCTGACTGAGAAAAGTGAGTGCAATGAGTTAATTGATTTTCCAGAGTTACTGAACTAATTAACAGCAATCTTGGGCAAACCTTTATCTAATTTCTGTTTCATTATGCCAATTTGCCTTTTTGGAATCTTTCACCACTATGAAAAAGAATGGTAATATCGTGCCTCCCTTTATTGTAGAAAATGAATGTCAGCTTTGAGGAAGGAAATGTAAAGTCAGTCTCTGGGAAAGCAGACATCTACAGCAGCGTATTGCAAATACAGATTGCATAATTGTATTTCTAAAATTTTCTAATTTGACTTTTGAAATGTACTTTCCATATGCAGAAATACAATGATAATTCTATTTGCTGGAATACATGAAAAATGATATTTAAATGTCTTGCTTTTTTTCATCAGATAAATAGATAAGCTTTTAGGCAGCCTCTTCTAACTGTATCCACAAGCATATTGCTGCATTAATGGAAAATGAGACTGTTTTTATAGTAAAGGCAGCTGGCATAGACCATGACTGCTGCAGTGTTTGGAATCCTGGCTGCTAATGTGAATATAGGTTATGTGACAGCTTGGATTGATATGGCTATTAGATCAACTGTGTATGAATGAAACATTAATAATTGCCAAAGAGGACCAGGGATTTAGCTCAGTGTTTTCACCACCTGTTGCGCAAGCGTAAGGACCAGAGTTCAATCCCCAGTACCAAAAAAAAAAAAAAAATTGCCATAGAAAAAAGTCTGCACCAACTCAGACAATTCTCTTAACTTACCCGTGCTGTGGGACTGCGGGTAGGTGAGGCTGGACACACTGATAAGGGGCACGGAATGAAAGAAAAATACTCCCCTGATTGGGAGAGCTCCTATCAGCCAGGAGTGCCCAGGGCTGGTGCAGATCTGGGCCCTGAGTCTGGAAAGGCAGTGCATGTTCTTGACTTGAAGCCAGTATTAGCCATGGTGACTCCTCCTCCGCTTGTCAAACTTATCTGCGCATGTCCAAGCCATGTCCTTACCATGGGCAATAGAGACTTTTCAGATGTTACAGGCTTCCTTCCCTTTCCATGCATTTTAATTTTCTCCTCATAAAAATGCTTTTCCGCAGCCAGTGCTACCTAATTACTTTCACTACTAGCTTTCCAGCTCAAATACATATCCCAGTACCTTATGCACCGAGTGGAAAAGGATTTTATCACACCAGGGGAAATTCTGTTGCTCACCAATAAGGAGGTACTTCTGTGGCAACACCAGGGGTCAATGTATATTCAGTGTAAATGATCAATCTGAATCTGCATCCCTCCTGGCTCCAGCCCTGATAGAAGCAGAGTGCTGAGACCATGGAGTGCTACAACCTTGACTTCCCTGGAGAGTCTTGCCACTTTCTTGGCTTGAGGCTCTGCATTTCAACATTGTCTATGGCACTGTACTGAGACCTTGCCAGGTGCAGTTTCCAACCGCATCAGTGAAACACTTGTAATTTCAACAAGCCCTCTAGGTGGTTCCAGGTACTAACAGGGTGGAAACCCAGTATTTGGGTTTAATTCTATTTTTAATTAGAAAAATTTTTCTGTGCAGCTAGGGATCAAATTCAGGCCTCCTTCACACAGAGCTAGTGCTTTACCACTGAGCTATAGCCCCATCCCTCTTGGGTTCAGTTCTGAGACACACATAGACACACACACACACACACATAATTTTGTATGTCAGACTTTCTCTCTTGAACTATAACTGCTGAGGCATTCTAGGTATTTTATAAAGATCTTTTTGGAGGAAATGCTGGATTCTATGAAGTCAGAATTTAGAGCAGGTACCATGTTCCAAGCCTTTTGGGAATTATAAGGGTTGAAAATTTTTTGTCTTGCTTTGTTTTGCTTTTTTTGTTCTATAGGAAAACACTACTCTAACACATCAGCAATAAGATTAACAATCTAGGGCCTGAAAAAGCAAAGGCACTGATGGAATGAATGACCCTGGCACATACATCTTGATCCAGGTGCTGTTGGTAACTGTCCTGGGAGGCCAGGGAGGACTCTCTTGCTACCCCTCTTCCTGGTGATTGAAGAGACACACAAGAGTGTAGTGCATCTCTGCTGAGTGCAGCTGCCCCATGGGGACAGGGTAATGCAGTGCGGAAGGGAGGACTGAAGAAAGGTCAGAACATCCAATAGGCCCTGGGTATCTGAAGGTTAGATTCTCGACAGCACTGTGCATTTAAAGGAAAGAAGGAGGGCCGGGAGTGTAGGTCAGTGGTAGAGCACTTACCTAGCATGTGCAAAGCCCTGGGTCCCATCCCTAATACCAAAAAAGAGAGGGAGATCGTGCTAATGAAGATAATAAGACACATTCTTATTTCAAGGAAGAAGAGAATTCTGCCTGTTACCTGGTAAGTGGGGAGCTCACCACATGTGGTTTGCCCATCTGTGTGTTTTGGGCCTAATATTCCAGGACTCTGCTTTCCATCCTCAGATGTCTGTATCAGATTGCTGATTTTTTCACACAGTCATGCTCTAAGGCACTGGCCAGAGTTCTGCCACTGGGGGCTTGAAGGTACAGGAATCAGCTGGGGCTGGAAAGTTACAAATGAAGAAAGTTCTGAGGCCAGCTGCACCAAACTGAATCAGCTGAGACCATAACGAGTCTGGGAGCTATGAACTAAAGGGCGTGTTGTGAAGTAGGTTATTTACATTCTTATAAAACAGGTGGGGGGGGGTGGGGAAGAGGGACAGGTTCTGGTGGTACAGTCAGCAGTCAGTCCCTTCTAAAGGTTTGACGGTCTCCCGAAATAGAAGAGGTTGTTTCTATCCTAAGAAAGAAGCATAGTGTGTTTTCCTTTTAAACACCCATGATAAAAATGTTTATGTCTATCTCAAACTGGAACCCAATGTTTAATTTTGAAAGTAATGAATGTTCAAAATCAAATTTTCTTTAAAAGAAAAAGGGGAGCATTTATAGTAGCAGTATTATTCATACAATGTATATATTAGAACTTTTTAATCCAGATTTTAGTATGTAAATAATGAGAAAAAAGTTGTTAATTTATATAAATTCATCTGAAAAAAGGAAACTATCTTGAGCTTAAATGACAAAAAAAGAGGTGGTATGGAGGAGAAAGGAAGAATCTGAGTTTCTGATTTATAAAAAGCCAAATATCAGATTTCCTTGGCCCAATAACCCGTGACATTTTAACCAGAAAGCAAATGTCTTGTCAGGGGTCTGTTGCCAGCCAGCTGGGCACCACGGCTAGACAGTTTTCCTGTGAGGCGCAGTGCGAGTCCTGGCACAGGTTACCCTGCAGTCTGCATGACGGTAGGAAAAGTGGCCCAGAATTGTAATCGTCACAACAGAGGGTCAGAATTCTTCCAGAAAGAACATATCTCTCAATATGAAAAAACCGTTTCCCAGAGACCTGAGAATACAAAAGAAGGTATAGATATGTATGTTACTAAGAAGCGTTAGAGAAAATGCACCTACACCAAACCTGAAAATTTGGCGTGATGAATTTTCCTGAGACTTCAGGCATATGCAGAATCCAAAGCAGAGCAGAACCTTCATTTTCTTCAATAGACTCATCCTGTGTGTTTCCCACCTGAGCTCAGCAGGACACTGGCCGGCTCGTGTGTGATGCTCCCTCGGCCAGCCAGTGCACCTGTCTTCTACCTTTGCAACAACTCTCTCACCCCATTGGCATCAGTTCCAGACTTGCAAAGCCAGCCAACCTTTCACTGGTCTTTAAAAGACTCTCAACATTTCATTACATTATTGTTTATTTTAAATTAGAAGCTTTTAGATTCTTTCCATTTGGGAGTTTAAATATTAAGTTGAGAGTCAAACTTCCAGGAAGAAATACCCTAAGTAAAAATTTTCACCAAGATCCTACTTCCAGGTGACACATGCTTCCTCAGCAACTTCACAGTATAGTAAACAACTGACATAATACCTTCAGCAACTTGGTTTTG